CTTTTGTGGAATGGGTAACAAATATTTCACGGGCTAGTGGACTAGTAACAAGTATTTCCTGGCAGGCACTGACCCGACTGAAACACTCTGGTTAAATATGTATTAGTCATCCAAGTGGAAATGCCTAAAAGGCAGATAGATATTTAAATTTATATTTAATCATCACCAAAGGACAATAACAATGTCTTTAAATTCACTTTGCACAGAATTAAGATTCTGATTTAACAAGCATTCGCTGAATATATACCACATTTAAGGAACTATTCGGGCCTTTTTATGGCAATGTTATGTAAGAAGGGCCAGATGAAGATCTGTGGGCAATCTGGACAGGCTAATAATGGGTAATCTTTTCATATCCATCCTCAAAGGCTCATCCACCATTTATCTGGTGGCAAGAGGGGGAAAATGGTTTCTGTTAATAAACATATGCTTGTTCTTTACATTTTAAATGATTTATTAAACACAATTTTCTAAACTATACAACTTTGAGGGAGAATACTGAACCATTCAACATTTGGCTATGAAAACTGGGCAGACTCCAGGATGGGAGTATTGCTTTTTAATTGCACCTTATGACTTGGAACCTCACATGACAAAAATATTCACCACATATTTTATTTCAAATCTGAAGCTGGGTTGAGAGAAGAATCAATTCTCCTCTTTCACAGCACATGAGAGTTCCCTACAGAAACCTGAACTATTTGCAATTCATTTCAAAAATGACCTTTTGAAGAATTCCCCTATGGCAGCAATGTGCTTGCTCCTACCCTTTATCTGTCTTGCTCGAAGAGCATCATGATCCCAAATTTTTCAGATATAAAACTGAGATTTAAAAAATTTAATGGTTTATATGATGCTACTTATCTAGAAAGTGACAGATTTAGTCTTCAACACTATTTTCCCATTCTAAACCCAGTATTATTGTGTATATGTGTGTGTGTATGTGTGTGTGTGTGTCCTTCCCTGGTGGTAAGAATCATTAAACATGTGGAATTGGTATTCACTGGCTCTCTGTGTCTGCTGATATTGTAGCACTAACACTGCCATACAGCAGTTCCCCCATCACCAATTCTTTCTGGGTTTAGGAAGACTCACCTACACTCACAGAAAAGTCCACTCTGCTGCCACACAGCCCCATGTTTTTCCTCCTCAGCTTTTGAACTGCCCCACTGGAGATGTGTGCTTCCTATGGTCTGCAGAGATTCCCTTGTGGGAAGGGTCAGAAATTCTGGAGTCATCCAGGCCTGTACTCCCTTAGTTTCAGTACACTTAAGTACATTCTCTGCATAAGTAGCAAGATTGCCTTTCTCCTCACTTTAGTGTTAAACATTTTCTAATTTCTCATTTGAGTTCTTTTTTTTTTTCCTCTCTCTAGAAATGTCACAATTTGTCCCTTTTTCCAACAGCTTAAGCTTTGTTCCCAGGTCAGACCATTCTGTTTGGTTTTCTCATTTCTATAGCTGAGCATTCTTCCCAGATGCTCCTTGGTTTCTCATGCACTAGACTGTGATATTTCTCCAAGCATTTTGAAAACAGGTGATCATTCCATTAGTTTAGGATTCAAACAATTACATTTCCATCTTTCTCACCTTTTCTCCCTCCAGGCATATTGGTGCAGATAAACAAAACTTATTAAGACTCCAAAAAAGGGTTTTCCATCCCTAGTTTCTGTGCTAGTTCTTTTAAAATACATATAATTAGTAGAAATCCACCTCAGATCTAACTTGTCAGATCATCTTCCATAAACCCAATCTGAAATTTATCTAAATGTCCCTAAGTTATCAGAAAAGCATTTGCAGTCCTGACTTCTTGACTCATTCAACCTCCATTCAATTAATAAAATTAAGAATAAATTTTAAAATATTTTTTGAAAGAGAGAGAGAATTTTTTAATTTTTTTTTTTTTTAGTTTTTGGTGGACACAACGTCTTTATTTTATTTTTATGTGGTGCAGAGGATGGAACCCAGCGCCCGGCGCATGCCAGGCGAGCACACTACCGCTTGAGCCACATCCCCAGTCCCAAGATTAAGTTTTATGTTTTATTTTTATGTTTCAGGCAAATTTAAATCAGCATCCCCTGGATGGAAGCATTCACTGTGACCACAGTACAGTTTCATTTCTGAAAGTTTCATTCCTGAAAGTTCCCATGAAAGAATGGACAGTCAGTCAATCATGCATTTGTAACATGAAGAAATTTCTAAACATTTTCCATTTAATTTCTAACTTTCTTGACATGTGGCTTATGACTCATTCCCCCAAACATACATCCCCTTGGGCTATCTCTAAAGAAAAGATGACAGAAGTGCTTGGTGTCTCATCTAAATCACAAGGTTATAATTCTCACTTCCTTATATCTGACTTCAGTGAATTATGACTATTTTTCAAGAAAATTTCTTTAGAAGAATACAAAGAGGCTTTGATTAGCTCCTTCTAGGTCTGTTTTCAAGAACAGCCAATTAAATAACTAAGCATATTTTACTAAATATATCAGATGCTTCTTTTGGCAGTGCAAATATAAAAGAATGAAACACTTTGCCACCCCTAATATTTTTAAAGGGAGACACCCATATAAACAAGCCATTAGAGCACAAGGTAATACTTACTCTAATTGATAAACAGAGGAAAAGGTGAAACAGCTTTGCAGAGAATGTGATGTTTGAGTTTTGAAAATTAAAAAGGAGTTTATCAAGTAATGAAGATGAGGAAAAGCATATGGGTGGAGGTAGAGCTGGACAGAAATAAAGGGATGAGCAGATGCACAGTTGTGAAAGGGAATGGCATTTTTGGGGGAGCTATCAAGAGCCCTGTATAACTAAGGCTCTGGCTCCCACCCTGGAACACACCACTCCAGGGTTTGTCCAGTAGTACCATCAGGAGCTGTGGAAAAGGATGGGATAAGTATGTCACAGTTGCCTTGCATTAATTTGTGTTTATGCAACTTAATATCAATTCTAGCTAATAGTGGTTTTATACATTATTAAAAATTAAACATGAGGGCTGGGGATATAGCTCAGTTGGTAGAGTGCTAGCCTAGCATGTACAAGGCCCTAGGTTCAATCCCCAGCACTACCCCCCCAAAAAAATAAATAAACATGAATACCTTGTGAAGAAGAAGGTAAAAACCTCATGAATTCTTTATATAAAACTAATATATCAGTTGCAGAAGTCTATTTAAATTTATAACCCTTCATCAGCCTACTACTAACCCATAACCCCTCTTTTCATGCCCTTCAGCTCTTAGGGGTCTTCAGTTGAGAAGCACTGGACTAAATGGGTTGCACTGGGAAGAGAGGAAGGAAGAGAGAAAAGTCTAACTACCTGTTTTTAAATGTATCATTTAGAACTCTTTGCATAGCACTTGATATGCCAGGTTGAGGATATTTAAGCAGGTTCAGCATTGAATCCCTGGTTTAGAACATTTCATGGCAACTTGGTAAATAAAAGACAGAAGAAGATAGTACAATTCTACATATTAGATGGTAGATAAGTCATACCTGAAATAAGGGAGACATAGAAGATGGTTAGGAGGAGATGGATTATTAGAGAGATATTTGCAAAAGAAAATTATAGGATTTAGTAATGTGTTGACTGTGAGAAATAGAAGGCAAGTTAGGGATGACTCAATTTTCTAATTTTGCCAACTCTCACTGATAGACAGTGGTGCTCTTACCTCAGATAGGAAATAAAAAAGGAGAAAAAGTTTCTGAAAGATATCTGAAAGATAATGGATTGGCTTTGACTACACTGTGGTACCTACAGCCTAGTAATTAATTAATTCACTCATTCATTATCTTTATGTAGCAATTATTCAACATCAGGATACAAACTAGACTGGTAGTTAGAAATGTCCAATAGTTAGTGAAAATTCAAGTCTGAAGTTTAGGCTGTGAATATAGAAATGATGGTCACTGATGCATTTAAAGGTGCTATTCTATACTGAGGGAAAAATTAAGATGCCACCAGGAAAGCACACAGAATGAGGAAACAGGACTCAGGACTGAGATAGGAGAAAGTTAATCTTTCAGCATCAGGAGTAGAAGAGTCCAGGAAAAGGTTGTTAACAATGTTTAGATAAGACTTCTGCCAAGATCATCTCCTCCTCATCCCCCTCCCCCCTCTCCCCTCCTCCTTCTTTCATGATTCCTATAGTAAAATGAATCTAGATTTTGCACACAAATTCTTCTGAAATTGTAAAGAACCAACGTGATCTTTCTATGTATGATGTAAAATCTTTATTTAGGATTAAATGTCATTTATGTTACAAGCCTATAGCCTCTTCTCAAGTATTTCATTTATATTGAATGTAAGAAAATTAATTCAGACCAATTATGGAAGTCAATTGCGTTGTTTTATTAAATTCTGCCATTTTACAAATTAGGGCAGTTATAATTATTATTTTTTTTTTTTTAAGGAAAAGAGGGAAACCGTTCAGAGAGCTTGAGCTTCACTCTGAATCCCTTGGGTCTCATAATTACAAGATAAAATGATGTTACTCAGGGATTCAAACGTTTCCACCCCTGAGATTCAGACATCCAGGACGATTCCAAGAAGTAACTATATTAACAGTTCTGGGACGCCCATGACAGCCGGTTGAACCCAATTTCCTCTTCACACCTGAATTCTAAGACAGGTTCCTAGGGAGGCTTCAGCTCGCCAAAGAGGGGTTGCCGGGGCAGCTGTCCCAAGGGTTCCTAGAGGGCAATTTCCATAAACCCTTAGTCCCCCGATCCTAGAGAGCTCACCCCGCGAGGATTCTTGTGGTGGGTGCGAAGTTGGACCGAGCCTGTGAGACCTGGCCACTGACGTGGATACAGACCTAAATTGCTCAACTCTCCTGGTCAGTGTGAAACTGCGCACCACCCTCGCTTCCATTGGGTGACGTCACATCCAAGCAACCAATCACAAGCCATCTCTAAAAGAAACTGTTGGAGAGAGAACACTGTATTGGTGATGACGCTTTGTCAATCTCAGCAGAGGAACCGCCTCTTCTCTCTTAGCAACGGATGCGTCCTGGCAACGGCCGGCGGAGGAGCTGCGATTTGTACTCTTGGGATTTGTTTTTCTGAGAGAGGAGAGTCAAACTCCCATCTCCAGTTCTCGAAGGAGCTTTTCTCCGGAGTACGGCAAAGAGACTTCTTTCTCTTCAGTTTATCCATAACAGGTAAGGTCAGTTCTGAACGAGAAAGGAGTGAAAAAAAAGTTATTTTATTCACTTTTTCAAGGGAGTTCGGAAATGTTTCTGCATTGCTGAGGTGAAGAATACAGATGATAATAACAACAACAATAATAAAATAAGACTTTCGCTGCTTTCAGAGAGAGCTTCCAATCTAGCCAAGCAGGCAAAGAAAGAGCAGTTAACGAGAACTTTGAGAGCAGGTATTGACTTGTTAACAGCTTATATATCTTCAGTGACTTAATAGTCACTGAAGCAATAGTCATTGCCTGACACATAGTACAGATTCAATAAATCATTTAATGAATGAATATTAAAAAATGACATGATCTTGGTTATTCAAGGTGGGGGAGGATCCAAGAAAAGACTAATGCTGGCTTTAGTAGTTAGATGACTTCAGGACTGTAAAATAAACAGGAAGATGAATGCAGATACAAACTCTTTGAAAGTAAGGACCCTACCTATTCCCCTAGGGATTATTTTACCTAGTAGTGAGTTTCTGCTAAATGCACTCTCTCTCCTTCCTCCTAGTGTATGGTGAATGCTAAATGTTAAATAAATTCACAGCAATTTTTCAGGCAGCTTCTGAGTGTGAGGCCTTCTGCTTTTGCAGAGGTCTGGCATAATTAACAATACACAGTGAGACTAGAATGTGTCAAAGAGAACAAGATTGTTTTACACTGAGAGAAAGTCGGGGAGGCTTCATAAAATGGGTCATATTATGCGTAGTGGAACCTTAAAGGATGCATGTGGTGTGGATCAGAAATGGCTGGAGGGTAGGGTGTTCTCCAGACAGAGAGAGAGGGGGTGAGAGGGGGTGAGGGGGTGCAGGGAAGCACTGGAACTGTTTGAGAGTGGATGGTAACCTGGTGAGGCTGGACAAGAACTGGAAAGGTGAGTGTGATGAGTAGATTGCGAAGGGTGTTGAAGGACATGTGTATAAGTTTGGACTCTATCCCATTGTGTAAAGTGTGGTATGCAGACCATCAGTGCAGGACTGCCTGGTACTGCTTTTAAAACTTCAGGGTCCCACAATCACTGCAGGCCTACCAAATCAGAGGGTGAAATTTGCATTTCAAATTAGCTCCAGTTCAGAAAAGTGACTTGATAAATAAGATTTGCATTTTAGGAACTGAAGTTCTGAAGGCAGGCCTTAGATGTTTGTTCCACTTAGCACACAGGCAGGAAGGTCAGCTAAGTGTCATGATCTAGACTAGAGGATT